TATATATATATATATATATATATATAGAGAGAGAGAGAGAGAGAGAGAGAAAGTTGGTTCAAATGTTAACCAAATTTATTGTGTTAACTTTGTTAACCAAATATTGACCATTGATTCTACAATAAACGGTTGTGATTTATCGTATTAAAAAATTAATTTTTTAAATTTACAATTTCAAAAAACATATGTGAACAAAGGGGAAAAGGGTATTTAGGTAATTTTCCTTTTTATGTAACTCCCATATCATTAATTGGAAGTTACAAAATCAAAAAATCCCATGATTTTTGTTAATTTATTTTTGTTAATGTAAAAACCATATAAACACACACACACACATACATACATACATATATATATAATATATATATATATGTATATATATATATATATAAACCATTGTGTCAAATACGAACAAATATTGACATATATATGAACTTGGACTGGATAGCATTTATGAACACAATATGAACATAATAAGAATAGCTGTTACATGAAAGGAAATAAATAAATAAAAACATATATAAACACAATATGAACAGTTTATGAACAATAGTTTCTTTATTATGAACACATTCTGGAGCGAGCCAATGTTGAAATATGCAGCTAGTGTACATACTAACACAATATGAACAACTTGTGAACAATAGTTCCTTCATTATGAACACATTCAGGAGTGAGTCAATGTTGTGATATGCAGTTAGTGTACATATGAACACAATATGAACAGCTTGTGAACAATAGTTTCTTCATTATGAACACATTCAGAAGCGAACCAATGTTGAGATATGCAGCTAGTGTATATATGAACACACTATGAACACTTGTGAATAATAATTTATTCATTATAAACAATTGGTTTATCCATAATAGCTTGAACGATAACGAAAACTTTACTACCAGGTCTCCTCTACCATTTACAAATTCAAAAATATTATAGATAGAAAAATCAATATTATAAAAAAAATAAGATCAATAATAAATTAACAAAAAAACATGGGATTTTTTGATTTTGTAACTCCCAATTAATGATATGAGAGTTACATAAAAAAATTATATATTTACTCTTGTCATTAAATTAAAAGATAAATATGAACCTATATATAAGATGGATTGTCATTGGTTGAAAATAGTTAACAAAGTTAACACAATAAACTTGGTTAACATTTGAACAAGTCTCTCTCTCTCTATATATATATATATATATTAAATTTATAATCTATAAATAAATTTATATTTTATAAATAAAAAATGAAAATTGAGGTTTTTGTTAGAACATTTATTGTGGAGCTTTATTAATTAAGGTTCTTATTTTGTTCATTTGCCAATAGTAAGAAAAATTAATGAAAAATGTGGTTATTGAATGGTGAATGATCTGAGAGCATCCACAATGCCGAGGTTATTCACCAACGTTTTTTTATATAACATCATTTGTCAACTTAAAAACCTTAACATATCTCCTCTATGACAAATTCTTTATCACGTTTTTTCATAACTTTTTCAAAGTTTTAAGGTTTCCACCATTTTAATTTTATATCATATATATTTTAAGTAGAAAAATCAATTATTGATATTCGTACAAGTAAATATTATTTAAATATATTAATATAATATAAATTATATTTAATTTTTTAAGT